GGCTCTATTAATTTGATTAGCTGCGAAAGTCCAACTTGAACTATAGCCACCCTGATCCCTAATCGACTTACACCTCCACGACAGATTTAAGATAATGGTCGCCAATATTATGATTGGTTTGAACAGGAACAAGCTTTCTGGTGGAAGTGGAATAGGAACATTTAGTAATGCTCAAAAATAAACAACTAAAAGCCGTTTTCACCATCTCTGGTTAACACTAACTCCCCGGTTAAACATCGTTATCGACATTCTGACTCCATGCATATAATAGGGAGTCGATAACGTCAATAACGATGTTTAACCTGTAGTTAGTGTTAACCAGACATTGAAAAACTGGCCTTAAGAGAGTGCCATGAGTGTAGGTTATCGAACTCAGATTGCAACAATACAGAGTCTGCATATAATAAATACTTTGACGACAAAAAGCAAGATCCAACAAAATTTATGCATAGGACAAATAAATGAGGACACCGAAGTAGCTACAAAAGGCGCGGAAAATATACAATACCTGGGAAAAGTTGAATGGAAACCTAATCGCGATAACTTGTTAATTAAAACTTTATGCGAAACTATATACAACGCCTTCTAAAAGTCTTCTGTGTACACAGTGTTTTTTTTTGGGAAAAATAGAAAAAAATTTCAGTGTACTAAAAAAAATAAGCTTCAGAAAATTACAAGTTAGCCAAAACAAAATTTGTTAGCTCTTCACTATCTAGTTCGTCGGACGTAACTCCCTAATAAAACCGGTTATGCTACTCTGAAGAAAATATCATTAACTATACACTCTAAAGTTCATTAAAAATTTATAATAGCTTCATTTCGGTGTTTTCTTGTTAAAGCTGCAGTGCTATTTAATCTTTCAAGATTGTAGTCTCAAATAAAATAATTTCACCGATAAAGCGTCATTGCGAATAGAAATAGCCTGCAGGTGTTTTATACTAAGCAGAAAGTTGGGCCAACTTATCGCAGACTCGCTGCTAAATTTTCAAGCATATACGTAAATCATTTGAACTAAAACCCAAAACTTTTGCCAAAAATTCGTAAATTATTTGCTTCTTGATAAGATTCAACTCATAAAGCGCTAAACCAATTGAGATTAGGTCGAACATGAGAATGAAGCAAATCTAATGGACTTCGGCCAAAATCGAGTGATTCTCTTTAGACAGTTAATTTTCAATTTGAGCTTCTATTTAAATAAATTTCAATTATTGCTCGTGTCCATTTTGGCGAACCGCATAAATGAATATTTTTATCAACTGTCTAATAAAAAAAGTCAGATTTTCTTTACTTCTGAATACGATTTAATCGGCAGGTGGTAGGGACTGAGAACTGCTGGGTAAGTACTTTAACATAGTTCTTGAGGTCAATGTAGTATGAACCAAAAAAATGTTTTCCTCATGGCAAGAAGCTCGATATACCGAAGATAAAAATGAAAAATTTAAACCCCTAGTTTCGGCAAAAAAAAAATTTCGATGCGGTCTAATGTCCATATGTACATAAATATATACACTACTTAAAAGAAATATTAATTTTGTATGTATGTATTTATATGTGCTCACTCGCGTGCATTTATGGATACTTCCATTCGCCAAACGGCCGACCCCTTCAATTCTCACAAGCGTTTTGGCACCTTTGCCATAATTTATCTACATTACTTGATGGCTCTCGCAGCGTGCTGTTTGGACTTTGGATCGAGAACACATACGGCTATCCCCTCCGATTTACCTTTGTATTTCCGCACATAGCGACAAATGGTGAGGCTTTTGAGTTTTGTTTTTGTTTTGTTTGGCGTCGATTTCACGCTTGCTATGCTTTTGATTAGTAATCGCCAATGTGAAATTGTTTTATGGCCCGCGCTTTTGTTGCGAAGAATGAGTGTTTTTTTTTTTTTTTTTTTTATACCCAACTTATATTGTACAGTTAATTGATTTCGCTATATTTTTAATGTAAGTAGTGTTTCATAACACCGTACGTATGTAGAATCGTTTTTTTATGAATACACTTCTAAGCCTATCATACCTACTTATAATATGTATATACATAATTTAGCTTTGGTTAACAGCTTTGTTGAAGTCGTAAACTAAGTTTTTCATTGATTTCTTCATTTTTTTTCTTCATTCGCTTTAAATGCCATTCATATTTTATTACATTTATTGTAACGGTTGGCGGGTGAATTCGTACATTTGTATGTATGTATAATAATGGTCGTGCATTTTTAATTCAATTGTGACGGTTCATCGATTTTTATTAAACTTTATTGAAGTCGAAAATGCAAAAACAAAACGAATAAATATTATACATAAATTAAATTAATAATTAAGTGATTCAAAATATTAAACTTATGCTTCAAAATATATACAAGTTTAAATGTATGTGTGTATAGATATTAGTGATGGACAAATTATATTTAGTTTTTTGAAAGAAACTCAATAGCAACATCTTTAGTTACATCTTCAAGTTGCAGTAGCCGAGTGATTAGAGGTGAATACTACCACTCGGTAGGACCAAAGTTCGATCCCTGGTCAAAGCAACCTCCAAAAAAAAATTATAGAAAAAAACCTTTTCGTAACAGCGGCCTCCCCTCGGCAGGCATTTTCTATATGGTGGAGGCGTAAAACTGTAGGTTCCTCCCCTTTGTGTGACAACATCAAAATTCACCCCACAAATTGGAGGAGAAACTCGGCCAAAACTTAGCAAAAGTGTAAGCGCCAAAATAGTATTATTATTTTTAAATACCGGAGTACTGTGTAATTAAGTAATTTGTATACCGCTGAATACCGAGTACGATAGTGTTTAGATAAATACTTCAAGTATTCTAAATACTTTGAGTAAATCTTTTTAAGTTTTTACCTAGTATTTTCAAAGCACTTAAATAAAATGTTGGTGAAAGATCTCAAAAACAAATCCCGAAGTCTCCTTCTCCAAAGTAATGCCGATAAGTTCTGAAAACATCCTGAAAATACCGAAAATTTCGAGAGTGCCGGAAATCAAAAAATCTAAGGATCCTAAAAACGTACCGAAAATTTTTGAGGATATTTTGAAAAATCTCAAAGAATCTCAAATTTCCGAAAAATGTCGGAAAATCTCGAAGAGTAATATTCGAAGCATTACAATATCTCGGGAAATTCGGAAAGGGAAGCGCGCATAAGGCGGAAAAGTTTCTAAAAAATCTAGAGAAAATCTTGAAAAGCTTCGAAAAATCCCGTACAGTCCAGAAGGATGTCAAAATGTCCAGAAAATTCCGAAATTCAGAAAATAGTGGCAAGTAAAAAATCGAAGAATCTCGAAAAGTCCCGAAAGATGCCGAGAAATCTTGTAAAACATGAAGCATCCCAATATCGGGGGAAAATTCGGATGAGAAGCGCGCAAAATGGAAAAAAAAAATTGTTAAGTATCGTGGCAAAAAAAAAAATAGTGATAAGTAACATAACGTAGTACCCCGAAAAGTTTTGAAAATTGTCGAGAATGCTTTGAGACGGTTAGAAAAATTTCGAAATTTTTAGTAATATTCCTAAAGCAATACGCGAAAAACCCCGAAGAGAAGCGCGCAAAATTCCGAAAAACTTCTAAAAAATCCAAAGAAAAATTTAAAAAATTTCGAAAAATCCTGAAAGAATACCACGAAGTACAGAAAAATATCAAAATATCCAGAAAGTTCCGAAAAATTTCAATAATATTTTGAACAGTTTATAAAATTTCGAAGTATTAATAAAAGAAATACGCAAAAAATCCCGAAATATATCGAAAAATGAAGAAGACTGAAACATGATGCATCCCAATATCTCGAAAAATTCGGGAATTTATATTCGGGCAAAATCCCCAACGAATTCTAAAAAATTGAGAGGAAATCTTGAAAAGTTTCGAAATAATACAGAAAATTCCAGAAAGTTCTCAAAATGTCCAGTAAATTCAGAAATTACAAAAATTTGGAAAATAGTGGAAATTAAAACAACGAAAAATCCCGAAAAGTTCCGAAAACTTTAAAAAGTTTCACGAAATCCCGTAATGAGCCCGAAAAGTTGCTTAAAAACTAAGACGAAGATTCCCGAATAGTTAAAAAAAATCCGACAGAATATTGAGAAGTTTCGAAAAATGCCGAAATAATCCTGCAAAATGGCGAATGGTAAAATACGAGAGACACCGAAAAGTTCCGAATAATCTCGTAAATTAACAATCGAGTAATTCCCAAAAGTTCGGAAAAATACCGATAGCATCTTAAAAAGTTTCGATAAATCTCGGAAAATAGCAAAAATTTAAATGCCTAGAAATCCGAAGTGCGGAAAAATCTATTCAATCAACATATAGATTTAAAGTAATCTCCGTATCTCAATCCCCGGTATATAACTCAGGTTGCCAAAGTTTCCAGAGCCCATGACCTTCGGTTTCCACTTCCGAAGTGCGGGACATACGCTCAGTGCCAAATGCCAAGACAATGACAAGGAATTTTTTTCTCTTTTTAACGTAAGCAGCTGCCGCGATGTTTTCATGCTCGATTCCGGCCAACAGAGCAGCAGAATTCTTCAGCTCGCAACTAACGAGTGTCACGCCCAATTTCAGTGCCCTTTTTTGCAAGCTCGTCCGCCATCTCGTTGTCTGATATGTCGCGGTACCCATGCCGAATGAAGAATGGTCTAGGAAGCGAAATTGGTGGACACGCCTCCGTCAAACTTGTCCAACTTGCATCCGCCAGAGTAAAACCGACCAGGCAGTAGGTGCTGGAACGTCCTAGGTCTATTGCTTCCTGCTAGGGGTTTCTACTTTATGCACTTTGTCGAAGTTACTGAAGTGTGACCATAGTTATCCGCTCTCCAGCTGGATAATTTTCGTCATCTTATAGCAGCACCCGCTACACTTTTCATGCTCATAATATTTTTCTATGGATTGTTTGTTTGTTTCCTCTTATATCCTTTAAAACTTTTTGCACATTTTGTCTAATTAAATAATTTTTTATATCCCATTCTAAACTCCTTTTCATATTTTTTCCTTCACTTCTCTTTCAGCCCAAAATGATATCCAATCACAATTACCCAGTCGAAGAACACATAGTTCATACACCAGATGATTACATACTCACAGTTTACCGAATACCCGATTCGCCAAAACTGCGTAGGACAGCGAATTCGACTGCTATTGCGCGCACCTCCAAACCGGTCGTCTTTCTTCAGCATGGTATTCTTTGCGCCTCGGACGATTGGATACTCAACGGTCCAGATACATCGCTGGCATATATGTTCGCCGATTCGGGTTATGATGTGTGGCTGGGCAATGCGCGTGGCAATACCTATTCACGCCAACACAAACACAAGCATCCAGATTCATCAGATTTTTGGAATTTCAGTTGGCATGAAATCGGCGTCTACGATTTGGCTTCAATGTTGGATTATGTGCTGGCTGTAACGAATGAAACTGCAGTGCATTTTGTTGCGCACTCACAAGGTACAACCACATTCTTCGTGCTCATGTCCACACTGCCTTGGTACAATGAGAAGGTGAAGACAGTGCATCTGCTGGCGCCTATCGCCTTTATGCGCAATCATTCATTTATGCTCTCCAAATTGGGTGGGCTCATTTTTGGTTATCCATCCTTCCTGAGTTGGGTGATAGGCGGTATGGAGCTGCTGCCAATTACCAGTGTACAGAAGCTTTTGTGTGAATACGTGTGTTCGGTGGAGTCTTCATTCCGATTTTTGTGTTCGGGGATTTTGGATTTCATCGGCGGCTGGGGGACGCGACATTTGAATCATGTAAGTAGAGAAATGGAAAAACTACCTAAGAAAAAGGCAGGCTTAGGCCGCTGGAAGAATGAATTTGTCATACATTTAAGTCAGAGATAAGAGATTTCAAAGACCAATAAATGGCGGCGGTCTACAGTGACAACAAGCTTATAAATTTAAAAGTTTTGGAATTTATTAAATTAATCTTGAACAGATAGTCCTTGGAAAGAGCTATCTTCTCTAAAGAAAGTGTGTATATTTTCCGAGGAATTTTTTGTGGTCAAACGCCTGAAGCGCCCTCCCCTAGAGACCTATATAGCGATATCATCATTACATTAACTAAATAGATATATATTTAACGATTCGCTCAGTCCACTCGGCGCGTTGCCAGAGTGAAAACATCTATTACAGCAAGTCCACATAGAAGAAAACGATATAAGGCCTCACAGTATCCGGAATACAAACTACTTCGATTTAGGGGTATCAATGTTATTCTAATTGTTTTTTCATACTTTAAGCTCTTGAGTGGTGAGCAAAATCTCTTTTGTCCACTCTAAGTTTTGTTCTCTACTCCCATCGTCAGCTTTTTAGGTGGATAGTACCAAGTCACAGTCGCATTCACTTCTCGTTATTTTGGTAGTTAGAGATGTGTTGGCTGCTGGCTTCTGGCCACAGCTCGACTGTGGATATCGGTACTTCAAGTCCAGTTCGCTGCAATACATTGACTGCGTTAACGACAGATATCTTAGAATGATACTATGCATTTTTTGCGGACAGTTACTCAGAAAGGTTAACATGGAGATATGGAAGTGGATAGGCCACTCTTTGCACAAAGAAGACGGCTCTATGATCTTGGTTTGGAATCTCCTAATCGGTGGTAGATGCCGTATGTTCCGCTTATGATTAAAGGAAACGACGAACAATAGTACCTGGCTTGTGTATTCTATTAAAACGTAGCTCGTTTGTACCGCAGTCTCTAGCGAAATGGCAATCCAATGAGTCGCAAATCAAGTAGCTGTCCCTGAAGGACTTCTTCTTCCTAGTTATAGAATTTCCTGTTTCGGTATAGTGAGTTGGCTAATGTGCGCCATTTGTGATGAACTCGGAGTTCGTGGCAGGGTATGCTCACCGGTTTCTGGGCCTTCCTCAAAATAAAAGATTTAAGTTTCTCTGGTCAGGTTCTTACTAGAAGGACGGCAGATGAACATATTTGTTTTTCTCTACTTGGCGGGCGTATCTCCGTGGCACCAAATATCATTATTGCTAGCGTAGAGTAGGAGTAAAACCTACCCGCAATCTTCGAAGTGAGGAATTATAACCTACCCGTCTCTTAATACCTGTGCGTAAAGAAGTAGGAGTATGCCTGACTGAACTTAGAGGAGAAGGAGTAGTACCTTTCCGTGCGTTAATTGCTAGCATAGAGAGTACAACTTACCCTATGCGAATCAATAATCTAATTAGTCGAGTGACGAGGTTAGCATATTCTCGTTTCGAGATTTCTTAGATCACCGCTTGTAGGATGATAAAATTGTCTTTTGTGAGAGTGACGGGACATCTATACGACTTACACGGCTTACCTAAAGCAATTGTTTGACCTTAAACTGCATCGATAATTATTAGCATATCGATAACGATGTAGGTATCGGGTGTAATATATCGAAGAAAATAAATCTGTTAGCTCATTTCTTTTTAATAAATTCTGATATCGAGTATTTAAAACTTTTTTTCCACCTGCTTTTTCTTTCCTTCAGACACTGCTGCCACACGTCTGTGAGACTCATCCCGCTGGTGCTTCGACCACGCAAATCATTCACTACCTCCAGCTATACAATTCGGGTGATTTCCGCCAATACGATCATGGCATCGAATTGAATAAGAAGTATTATCAACAAGAAACACCACCATCATACAATGTCCATCAGATCTCTAGTTGTGTACATATGTATTATAGCAACAACGATTACATGTCCGCCGTCGAAGATGTAGAATATTTGGCGACACTATTACCTTGCGCGGAGCTCTATCGCATACCCTATGAAGACTGGAACCACTATGACTTTTTGTGGTCGATAAATGTTAAAGAAGTGATAAACGATAGAATTATCGATAAAATTGCCAGGCATGAAATGGAAAATTTATGAGATTTACATAGTATATACATAAGTATTTGTTTCCTCGGTTTCATGAAGCAAACACACGTAGTCAAATTATGTGGTATATTACTTTAAGTGACGAATGTAAATATTTTTATTATATTTTTATTTTTTTTTTTTAATTTGCGTATAATTTTAGTATTATTTCACTAATTAAAGAAAGAAGAAAAACGAAAAGAACGAGAATTTTTTATATAAAAAATATATATGTACATATGCATATATATAATATATACATAATATATATGTATGTATCTGTATTCTGTAATATAAATAAATGTACCTTCAATATGCTGTGAGACCAAAAAAAAAGATAACACAAAGCTAAATAAGCAAAGTAATGGCGTTTTTCATACGCAAATACTCAAAGGTTTGTGAATTTTTTCGCTTAAGAAATTAGACAATACTTTAACGTTTAGCCGATATGGCAAAGATAATGCTTCAAAGACCATATGTACATTAGAGTGTGCCAGAAAAAAAGTTCGCGGTACACCCCTGAGTCTTCTAAAGTATTTCGGTTAGACAATTTCCAATTGTTTTTTTTTTTTTTGGGTAAAAAGTGACCCCTAGGTGCAAAACAAAATTAAAAATCGAAATTGCCCTGCAAAAATATTTTAAACTCCAGACTTAAAGCGCAGTTAGTCAACGACGTAGCGTAAACGTAGGTTGACGTACGTAGCAGCATATAAAATTTACTGTTTATAGAGAGAGAGAGAAGCAATGGCAACGTCACCACCATAGATCGTGTGTGCGTCAACCTACGTCTACGTTACGTCGTTGACTGTTTGCGCTTTTACGGCGAACTTTATTTTGTTGGCTTATAAATGGTACGGCCTAATGTACTAATATATATGTATGTACGTATACATGTGAGAATTTTATGTACTTGCTGTAAATATGTAACTAAATATGACAACATTTAGCTATAAATGCCTATGCTGGCCACACAAAACGCTTTTTACGAGTAACTATTTAATAAAAATGTTAAAAACTAAAAAAAAAACATAGTTTAAACCCTGTTTAATTTACTGCCACGTCATCTATACATAAAATAAAAATGTAACAGGTCTGTACATTATAGATCCCGTGTGTGGTGAAAGCCGAAAACGCTTTGTTGTTGCTGTATCACACGGGATTGGAGAGTAAGCCACGTATCAACGCCTTCGGAGGAGGGACAGAACTATATCCTCTAGATAAATGAGGAGGCGGAGGACCTACTTCACTCGGAGCACGGGAAAATGTCGTGGGGTATGGGTAGCGTCTATCTCAGACTCAAAAAGAGACATGCGAAAGACGACTATCACAACATGCTAGAAGTAGTGGAAGTCGAGAAGAACGTAGGTCTCGAAAGCTTGGCAAGCCTGAGTGTACCGGAGAAGGACAATATAGATGGTGACTCTATGGAAATGGAGGGGAGCGAGCAGCGACCAGATGCTCAAGATATTTACTTAGTTACATCATTCACAGTAACTTAAGCGTAGCTAATAGCAGCAAGGTTCCCACATACGTTCTTGATTTAACTTTATGTTCGGAGCCTGGCGTAGAGCTGACAGCATGGAGGGTACTTCACAGGCCCTCCTGCTCAGATCACGCATATGGGCTTAACTATTTCTGCTAAAAACTACTAAACGACGATTTTGAGAAGGCCTGCCCCCCCAAGGAAGGCAAAGCGCCTTTGGTGGAGCCCTGAACTTAGTGTTCCTAAAAAACGGGTGAAGGAAACTTTTAGGCTAGCCAAGTGTGCTGACTCCAACGAGTGTTGGGATGAGTACAGGGATCTTCTTAAAAATATCTAGAGGAAATCCACACGCAGTGAAAAATAAACTGATGGAGGAATGTCTGTAGTGGAATTGAAAGCTCCAGCAAGACAGCAAGGCTAAAGAAGGTCCCGTCCAAGGGTTGTGTAACCCAGGGACTCATCAAAAAGTGCGAGGGCGAGTGGTCTCAATGTGGCGAGGAATCTCGTATTTTATTACTACAAACTCACTTCTCTGTAGTCAAAGATCCAGGCGGCCCACCTGATGCTGTAGTATCCATTGCAGGAGAGGGTAGCCTTGCAAGGGAACTGGTGGCTCCGTCTAGACTGGAGTGGGTCTTCAGCTCATTTTCGCAGTATAATTCGTCGGGTTTGGACGGCATCTTTCCTGCGAAGTTGTGTTAGGCGAATAGAAGTGGCTCTGGAAAACAAGGAATTCGTATTAGGAGTCTTCCCGGACGTAATGGGTGCATTCAACAATGTCTCAACGCAAGCTATTTTTGACGGAATGACGACAATAGGGGTTCACCCCATAATTTCGAACTAGATAAGCAGTATGTTGAGCTACAGAAGTGTTTCGGCGCAGTGGGGTAGGCATGAGACTACCAAACCGATTATCAGGGGTTTACCGCACGGGGCGTATTATTTATCGCTAATACTTTGGTCGCTGGTGGTCAACAGGATACTGAATAAAATGAAGGGAGGACTTGTCATAGTAAGCGGAAAGTGTCTGTCCACAATCAGCTCACTTGTGAACCAAGATATAACAGGTCTTGTACTCTTCACCAGGTTCCGATCTGGTCCAAGCCTAAGCTGGATAGGATGACCCTTTAGGTGAAGCGAAGCATCAAGTACATTGGAATAATACTCGATAGCTTATATCGTGGTGCCTCAATGTGGAGCAGAGGGCGAAGAAGGCTTCCGTGGCATTCTATTCATGCAAAAAGATGCTTGGCTGCCTTTGGAGCTTGTTGTCTTCTCTTTCTCACTGAATCTTCACGGCGATAGTCAGGCCGATACTCAAGAATGATAGAATACAAGATTGCGCCGTTAAGAGAGGAATAGTGGTCCGAGATCGGCGCAACCTTTGTATTCTCTCAATCGTGGCCGATACTGTTCCATGGGGTATTGGTTTAAATGACAGCATTGGAGAAGAAAACATTTTTAAGAGTATATAAAGTGTATATAACGTATCAATGATCGGCATGCAGGTGAAACTCTATATATACAGTCAGGCTGCAATAAAGGCGCTACTATTCCGCAGGGCCTGGGTTGAAGCCCTGGTCAAAGAAACATCGCAAAAAAAAATATAGAAAAAACGTTTTTTTCTTAACAGTGTCGCCTCTCGTCAGACAATGGCAAACCTCCGAGTATATTTCTTCCATGTAAAAAGCTTCTCATAAAAATACAATCGCCGTTCGGAGTCGGCGTAAAACTAGATATTACCTTCTGGCATCGCATGCCAGCAGGTGGCTCTGACTAACGATAAGACCTGTAGAAGATGCAGAACGCAGGAGGAGACAGTGAAGCAGTGAATCCTCTGTGAGTGTCCTGCCCTTATCGGGCCATGGCTAAGTCACCTGTAAGCAGGTTTTCTACCTAATCTGGAAACCGCCGTCAAGGCAGGGTATAACAATTTGTTCCAGTTTTCCAAAAGGACTGCGATGTTCTTCAACATTGCTCCTGGTACGCAGTGATTAGCTGTACAAAGTGGTCGTAGTTTATCTGGTAACTTTATGGACCTTAATGGTCTCTGCGAAGCCACACAGAGGCTGGCCAGAATACTTAACCCAACTTTGAAATGTGGCGATATGTGTTAATGTGCTAGACTTTTATAAAAAAAAAAAAAAATTACAAACATTAAATAGACAAATCAAAAATACTCAAAACTGGTCAAGATATCACTTAAATTAATCAGCTGACCACAAGTGTGCATATGTATATTTTTAGACATAGATCAGCGAATTGAAGGTAAGGAAATAGCTTAAATTAGGCTTTAATTTATATTATTAACATACTTCGCATTCATTAATATTTAATCACTGGTTGCTATTTCCCGTAGTTATGTAAATAAGTATGGCAAAGCATACAACCGACTAAACCAATCAAATGGAACATTATAATACAATGACCTATTATTTAGCGTAAATATTTAAATGCTTGATATTTTTTTTTTTTTTTTATTGGTGTTTTTGTTTTACTTTACTTTGTTTTTAGTTTGTGCATCAAACAGAATATATATATAAGTCTACCGCTTGTCTCGTGCTTAAAACGTGCGCTTAGCGTATTTTCAGTGTACAACAAACATGTTTGCTCTAAACTTATATCATATTTCATTTCTATTAACTATGTGGAGCCTATACATACATACATTCAAATGTATACTAATTATTTAATTAGAATTTTTTGCATTTCAGAAAACTACGCGAATCTTAATCGAAAACCGGCTGCAACGCGTGACATTTAACAAAACAATTATACGTAAATAAATAAATAGTTTCTATACATTGAATGAATACAATGTATGTATATCTATTTATATAAGGATAGGTACCCAAGTAAGCTACATATGTGATTACACACACCTCAATTCAACAACTGAGCTGCATAAATATTTATTTTTCAATGCTTAGCCTCAACGAAACTCAGACGGAAGCCGGGTCTTAGTAGCTCATAACAGCTTCAATGCTAAGCCCCGCTCGCACGCCATTGCACTGGTCACCACTGAATAGCGCCAAGTTGCTGTCCACAGTAGCATTTGTTTTATGTCCAAGTCGTGTGTACAGAGTGGCAAACGAAGAATGAAAACGTTCCAAAAATTTTGATTTGTTAAAACAGATAACTTGGTGTTTATACAAATATTTAAAGGTAAAACCGCTCGCTCAATTCGTCGGCCATCATTTATTTTTTGAAGTTTGTCTACTTTATAAAATTGAAATTTTCAGAGCGACTCAAATGCCAAATAAAAGTAAAACAAAAAACAAATAGATGAAAATACCCAGCCAGCAAAATCATCGTAAACAAGCTCGTAATTGGATATTTTCTCGAAGAAAAACCGGATTAAAAATCGTTTATGATAGCCGTTTACGACTCTTTTTCGAGCACTTTTTCGCTTTAAATTGTGCATCGCCTACGAACACTCGTAAACGGATCGAAAAAGCATTCGTATGCGAATATTTTTACGTCCGTTTTTTAATTGTAAACGAGTCTCGTAAACGATTAATTTACGTTAAAAAAGCGCTTTTTTACACTGCTTTATCTACTGTTTTT